TAAGTAGTAAGATGTGTATGAGGATCTAAGTGGGGGAGAACAGAGGGGTGGGGAACAGAGGGGCGGGGATGAGGGCTTTGATGTGTAGAGGACGGTGGGGGATCCGGTGTTGGGGCAATATATACAAACTCTGTAGGTAAACTAATGTAAAATGAATAAAAAAAATGCAAGGGAAAAAAATCAGGTGGTTTAGTTTTTTGTTTTTTTTTTTAAAAAAAGAAGAATTAGTTGTAATGAAGGAAGAAATTGAAATTATACTGGAGGCCTTGCGACAATCAAGCCTCCAGGAACTGATGTATTAAAAATTCTATATCAAAAAATAGATGCAGTGCTACAGGCACTTACTCATCTATGCCAAGAAAGTTGGAGGACAACTACCTGGGAAACTGAGTGGAAGAGATCCATATTTGTGTTCATTCTAAGGAAAGATGATCCAATAGAATGTAAAAACTATTAAATATTACCATTAAGATTGTTGTTGTTGTTATGTGCTATTCAGTAGTGACCCTATGTGCCTAAGCCCTACTCTATCCTTTGCCAATTTCACACATAAGTAAAATCTTACTGGAAATAATTCAAAGATAGTTGCAGGAATAATTGACAATGTCTTGCTAGAAATTCAAGCTGGGTTCAGAAGACATAGGACAAAGGGATATCACTGCTGATGTCACACAAATCTTGGCTAGAAACAGAAAATACCAGAAAGATGTTTGCTTTTTATTAACTACACAAAAACATTTAACTGTGCAGAGCATAACAAACTATATTAGCATTGAAATGAATGGGAATTCTTGAATAAGTTAATCGGGCTTATGCAGAACTTACAAAGTTACTTGAACAAAATGGGAATATTGTGTGATTTCAAATTAGGAAAGGTATACGTTAGGGTGTTATCATTTCATTGTACTTATTTCATCTGTATGCGGAGCAAACAGACTGAGAAGATGGACTATATGAAGAAGAACATAACAGCAGGATTGAAGGAAGAACTGTTATACAACCTTGTCTGCTGAAAGCAAAGAGAACTGAAGCACTTACAGCTGAAGATAAAGGACTGTAGTCTTCAGTAAAAAACATTATGATAAAAGGAGAAAATACCAACATTGTGAAGGATTTAATTTTATCTTAATCCAATCAATACCCATGGATGCAGCAGTCAAGAAATCAAACAATACACACTGAACTAAGTAAATCTATGGGTGGAAAACAAAACAGAAAACTAACTAAATTTTTCTTAAAGTTTTATAAAGCAAAGACATTACTTTGAAGACGAGGGTTTCCCCTAGAGAAATCTGGTGGCCTAATGGCAAGAAGCTGTGAAGGCACGAGGTGGTCAAAACCTAACCAGCTGCTCCTCTGGAGAAGGATGGACAATCTCCTCTCAAGTGATTAACAGCCTCTAAAAACCCGCTGGAGGGTTCCAACTCAATGGTACACAACAGTAACAACAAGGTGCCCTAATTCCAAGCCAGTCTTGATTGCATGTTTGGTCAATTTTAAACAACAAGATTTGGTAAAAATTTTCCAATTTCCTTCTCTTTGGTTTCACCTTATTTTTTATTTTCACATGTATTTGAATAAGAGTCATATTGTATGGAAAATATCCTATCACTCACAACACTGTACTTTAGGATAGAACTTGAAATTGACTTTTTGATTATCAAAGATGTTAGATCATTCTTCTGTTTTTCCTATCCAATATAGTATACCATGTGATTATCTGATTTAAAATGTCCAAAGCTAGTCTATCTCATCATGCTAATGCTCAGAACATCAATGTTCATGCATTCCATTTCATTTTCCACAACGTTTACTTTTCCAACATCCACGCTTTGTGCATTCCAGGTTTCAATTAATAAAGGATGTTTGCCACTGATTTTTCTCATTTTGACTGACTTCCAATCTTGGCTCTACCTTTAATACTTTTAACTATTCATGTTCCTCTACTGTTCATAAGGTAGAAAATGACCATGACCTTGAGTCTATTCCATGCGAATTTCAAAAGCATCTTAAGTGTAGGTCTGAAGCACTGAACACCAGATGAACTGTGGGATGACATCGAGGATATCATCCATGAAGAGAGCAAAAGGCCATTACAAAGACAGAGGTGAAGGGAAAAAAAACAAAACTGATGTCAGAAGAGACTCTGAAAACTGCATTAGAGCATCAAGAAGCCAAAACAAAGGGGAAAGATGTCAAAGTAAAAGAGCTGAACAAAGATTTCAAATGGCAGCTTGAGAAGAAAAAGCAAAGTATTATAATGGAACGTCCAGATATCTAGAATTGGAGAATAAAAAGGGAAGAACTCACTCTACTTCTCAAGATAAGAGAACTGAAAAACAAATTAAGCCTCAAGTTGCAATACTGAAAGATGCTATTGGCAATATGTTGAATGACCCAGGAAGCACCAAAAGAAGAAGGAGGAAATACACAGACCACTATTCCAACAAGAATTGACTGCAATGAAAAATTTCAGGAAGTACCAAATCAACAGGAGTCAATGGTAATATCAACAAAAAATAAGGCCCCAGGAATTGATGGGATAACAACTAAAAGATAGAGCCTTGGATGTACTCACCAATGTATGTCAGGAAGTTTGAAGGCCAACTGACTGAAAGAGATCCACACTGTTCCCATTCCCAAGAAGAGTGATCCAACAGAATATGGAAACTATCAAACAATAACATTAATATCACATGTAAGCAAAATCTTGCTGAAGATCATTAAAAAATGGCTAGAACGGTACACAGAGAGAGAACTGCCAGAAGTTCATGGAGCATTTAGAAGAGGTCGCAGCACCACGGATATTATCGCTGATGTCGGATGGATTGTGGCTGAAAGTATACTAGAAGGATGTCTATTTGTGCTTTATTTACTTTGCAACGGCATTGGGCTGTAAGAATCATAACAAGTTAGACCTCTGAGAAGAATATAAATCCCAGAACACTTAATTGTGTTCATGTAAAACCTATACTTACACCAAGAGGTTGTTGTGCAAACAAAGCAAGGGAATAATAGAAGGTTTATAATTAAGAAAGGAGTGCATTAACGTTGTATCCTCTTTCCATACCTATTCAATTTGTACGCTGAGCAAATTATTCAAGAAGACGGACTCTATGAAGAAAAATGTGGCATCAAGTTTGGAAGATGCCTCATTAACAATCTGCATTATGCAAATGATATAACCCTCTTGCTGAAAGTGAGGACTTGAAGCATTTCCTTAAAGAAGATCAAGGAATACAGCTTTCAATATCTCAACATCAAGAAAAGAAAAAATATTCTTACCACTGGACCAATACCATCATGACAGATGGAGAAAAGGTTGAAGATGTCAACAATTTCATCTTACTTGAATGGATCCATATCAACACTCTTGGTATCAGCAGTCAGGAAATTAGAAGATGTATCACACTGGGAAAGTCTGTAGTCAGGGACCATTCCGAATTATTGAGGAACAATGTTGCCAGTTTGAGAACAATGGTGTGCCTGATTGAGGCCATGGTCTTTCCAATTACTTGCTATGCATCTGAACACTATACAATGTGTAAGGTTAACAGAAGAAGAATTGATATCTCTGAGCTATGGTGTTGGATATCCCATGGACTGCCAAAGAACAAACAATTATGTCTTGGAGAAAGTGCAGCAAGAGTGTTCTCTGAAGGCAACATGCTAAACCTCTACTTCGGGCATGTTTCTATGAAGAAGCTATTCACTGGAGAGGGACATCATGCTTGAAAAGGTGAAAGGTCAACCAGGTGGACTGCCGCAACGGCCTTTAATGTGTCAGGAAGTGTGAGGATAGCACAGGATTCAGATCTGTTTATAGGGTTGCTATGAGTTGTATTCAACTTGATGGCATCTAATAGCAACAATAATCCAAGCCACAGTTATTTCCAATTGCCTCCTGTGCATGTGAAAACTGCAAAATAAGTAATGAAGATAGAAATACAGCTCAAATGTTTCTTAGAAGTGAGGATAGCAAGATTTCATCTTGTGTACTTGTACTTTGGACAGGAGGGACCAGTACCTGGAGAAGACATCCCTTCTAGTGCTGCTGTAACAGAGATCCTGTAGGCAGGTGGCTTTAACATACATTAACTTTATAGTTTAAGAGACGAGAAGTCTAGATTCAAGATCAACTCTAGGGAAAGGCCCTCTTTCCCTGTGACTCTGGAGGTCCTTGTTTCCTTCAGCATTTGTAGGCCTGGGATTCCTGGAGATATCGATGACTTGACCTCACCCTGTGTCTGGAGCTTTCCCACCATAGGGACCTGAGTCCAAAGACTGTGCTCCACTCCAGCTCTTAAGTCTTACTGATACTGAGGTCTTCCTTTCTGCTTGCTAGACTCTTACAAGATAAAAGGTGTTATTAGTTACATCCTAGTGAATTTTTTTTTACACTGCCTCAAGGCTTCGGTGGGTTTAAGGGGTGATGCATGCCACTTTCTAGCCCAGTACAACTGTTTGGTTTTTCTGATTACAGTTGATCATTACACAATTTCCACATTTTATATATAGGGGTATTCTGGACACAATTCAAATTCAATTAATACTTGATAAAACAGAAGGCCAGTACAAGAGTTATTGAGTCAAATGTATAGATACAGTGGCTGCAACAAAGGGTCCACACATGATAACAGCTGTGAAAATGGCACAGGTCTGGCCCATGTTTCCTTTCACTGTTCATAGGTCACTACTTGTTGGGACCTACTCAACAGCACTTAACAATAATAGGTAATATCTGCTCCATAAAAACAGTCCTGCTTTTCTTTCTTCTACGATAAAAAAACTACTTGCAGGAGAAAAGATAAGAAAATTGAAAAATAAAAGAGATCTTCATAGGGAATTTCAGTGAATTAGTAATTTTGAAATATTTCAAAATTATTGCATAAAAGAAAAGAAGTATTAGGAAATAATTTGTCAATAATAATATGATGATAAAAGTCTGAGAATTATACATTATTATACACTATTGCACTATTATGCAATTTTTTTTTTACCTTTTTTTGTTCTTGCTCCCTCTGTTGGAGTCTACAGACTGAGTAATTAGTTGCTTGCACTGAAATAAAACAGATAATAATATAGTCACTGTTCAAGAAGGAGGTTATCTGGAGGGGTGAGGATATGGGGAAGGTCAGCAGAGGATACTCAGATTATTTTAGAACTCTAAAACACACCCCTCCCAAAACAAACAAACAAACAAACAACAAAAAAGGGGTTTTGACATAAAAGGTGGATGAAATACAAGAAAAAAGTTTCCCCAGTATATCCAGGATAACATCATTCTTGAACTGCAAGCCAAAAAAGCATCCACATATTGATGTCAATGACAGTAATTGCCTTAGAATTTGCTAAAATATGTAAAATGCTTGAAATTACTTTCATTACAATCTGATTATGCCTTTGCATTGTGTCTGTGATTCATTAACTACTTTACCCACCAATTCCCTGCATTTCATAACATTTTCAGGCAGGACATGATATCCATATTGCTTCAACAACTTTCTATTACTAAGATTTTAGTATTAGCTCCTATCTTCTAACTCATTCTGGCTTCTACTGCAAGGTTCAATTTCCTCTGGAGTTAGAGAGGGTTTTCCTGGTGGCCTACTGATAATTACTTCTACTGGCATCAGCTGCCCCACAGAAGAAAGATGGACAATCCCCTTCCATGCGATTTTTAAAGCCTCTGAAAACAAGCGGGAAGGTCAGCTTTGAGGTGGTTCCAAGTCAACAGCACATGTTGTTGTTGTTGTTATGTGCCGTCGAGTCGCTCGCAACTCATAGCGACCCTATGTACAACAACTCTAAACTCTGCTCTGTCCTGTGCCAATCTCATTGTCTCCGACACACTCACCCCGAATGCCCCAGTCACTGAATCAATCCATCTCCCAGAGGGGCTTCCCCTCCTGCGCCTTCCCTCCACCCTCCCAAGCATGACGTCCTTCTCCAAGGACCGGTCTCTCTTACAACATGACCAAAGTCTGTCAGAAGAAGCCTGAGAATCCTTGCCTCCAAGGAGCCGCCCGGTTTAACCCTCTCCTGTTTGTTTTCTTAGCAGTCCATGGTACCCTCAACACTCCTCTCCAACACCAAAGCTCAAAAGCATCAATTCTCCTTCTATCCTCCCTGGTCATAGCAACAACAAAAAACAAAACTGCCAGTAACAATCACTGTATCTGTTATTTGCTATTTATTATGTGTCAAGAAGTGTGCTAAGTACTGTGGATGTATTTTTCTTCATCTCACTTTCTTATTAGGAGAGGATCACAGTTCCATTATACTGATGCCAAAACTAAAACCACACTGAAGAACAGGAAATAAACTCATTGCCATCAAATTACAATAACTCATCGATGACCCTCCATTATATTGAAATCACACAGGAATAGCCTGTCCATCTTTCTTCCTCACAGGTGCTGGTAGATTCCAACCCACAGGGAGATCAGTAGCATATTTCTCTATGGACTACACCATCAGAGCTTCCCTGGTTAGAAAAAGGACTTTGCTCTACTCTAAATCCTTGACACTCAACCTCAATACTATAATGTCTCCTTTAGGATTTCATCAATTAAAACTTGTTTTATGAAGCTCTGGTGGCCTAAAAGGTTAAGGAGTTGCACTGTCAACTCAAAGGCTGACAGTTCAAGGAGAAATATGGGCAACCTCAACCCTTGTGAAAACGCATTGTAGGGTCATGTGATGAACTGGTTATGACTCGATGGCTAAGAAGAGAAAACTCATTTTAACCTTTTACTTATTCAATCTTTTCATCTACTGAATCAATTTTATTCCTGATTGCAAATGTTTCTTCTTACTTAATCCAAATAAAGATATTTACTGAACAGACTGGGAAACCAGGATCAAGCGTCACCCTGGGTTCAAATTGTGGGTTAAACATTTACTAGGTATATAATCAAATATGATACAAAGTCCATTATACCACTCATTCATTCATTTTTTGACAAAAATTTGCATTGTTATTTATTGCCAGACACTGACTGGTCTTCTTACCATTCTAATCTTTCAGCACTTTAGAGCCTCTGTAAAATGGGCAAAACCATTTATAACAAAATTAAAAAACTGGCATGAATATTAAATAATGAAGTAAATATATTAGAAGTCCTTGGCTGACATAAAAGGTTAAGTATTTTGTTACTAACAAAATGCCTGGCTTTTCAAATCCACCCAGGGACACCTCAGAAGAAAGGCCTGGCAATGTGCTTCTGAAAGGTCTTTGGAAAGCTTACAGCCACTGAAAACTCTATGGGGCAATTCTACTCTCAAATACATGGACATCATGAGTCTAAACTGACTCAACAGCAACTTTTATTTTACGGAAGCTATTATGCTTAAAAAGAAATCATTTATACGTTAATACTAAAAAGCACATAACGCAGTTCCTCATAAAGAGTAAAAAGTCACATAAGTAATTATTAATATGTATTTACTGTACTATTTCTACTGAAAGGCTTTCCTTAATTTTTTCCCAGTTTAAAACACATTTTACTTGGTTTAAAAGCCCAGGTGAAACATTTCTGCCTTTTTGAGGTCTTTGCAGATTAATCCTCCCTATAAGGACCTCCTCTTTCCTTAAAAGTCCTTCATTCAGAGATTTATTTGCATTTGCTGAAACTAGGTGATTACTGAGTTGTTTTACAATTATACATTATTCTCTGCTGCACTCCCACCTCACCCCACCCACCCCAACTAGGTGGTAAGTTCTGTTACAGGAGAGGGACTGTGATTTCTCTTTCAGAAAATGTTGGCCCCTTCTCTGTATAAACACTGCGAAAAAGAATTTTGTTATATAAAAGCCATGTTTTCACTAATAACTGTTAAAATCTATCAAAGATAACATTTAATTCCTAAAAGTTAGGTTCTCAGTCATTGTTTGATCTAACAGAAAATTTAAAAATGAAAACTGAATAGGAGTTGATTAGATCTGCCTTCCCTCTCTGGCAGAGTAATATGACATCATCTTTCCCAAGCAGTGGCTCTATCATTTCCTGGGTTTGTTTTTTTACCCCCTCCGGCTCTAACTTCTCTAACTTCAAACTGTTTTCTGTTTTAGGTGCTTCACAATTTTCACACCATTCTAGCATTCACTGTATCTTTTTAAAAATTTAGTGAGAACAAATGGCATGTGTTTCATTCTCATTGGGGTTGTCTTGGTATTTAAACAAAACATATAATTTTAGAAACTTCAGTCCCTTTTAGGTAATGAACTTTCTAATTCTTTAGCCACACAGCAAAATGGGTCTTACTTTGCGAAATTCACTTTTCTAAAATCTAAGAGTCACTTTTTCTTCACATGTAGAACCTTCAAGCAGAGAAGGTCCATTTCCATGACTGATGTCCCTATCACCTCTTTCTTTTGCAACTGACTCCAACTTGCAGAAGTTGAAACAGAAACTTGCAGAAGCTGAAAAAGAGCAGTTTCAGCTATTCTCATAGCATTTCAGGAGACTAAGCTGTTGTGTATCTTTGAGTGGAAACCAACTAACAGCTGATCTTCCAGTGGGTTTTCAGAGGCAATAAACTGTATGGAAGGAGATTGTCCTTGCCCAGCTCCAGCTCTGTCCTATAGAGCAACTCATGGAGTCAAACTCCATGCCTTTGGGTTGACAGCACAACTCCTTACCACCAAGCCTTCAGAGCTCCTGGAGACTAGACCAACTTCAAAAAGCATCATTTTCTCTTAACCAAAAGACTATTCAAAGAGATTAGCATCACATACACATACAATTACCACTATCTTGATTTTCTTCAGATAATAGGAAAAGAAATCCATTCTGTTATAATATAAATGTGTAAACATCACATTTGAAACCACAGTGGTAGTTTTGTTTCATTATTAACTCATCAGGGATCTGAACAAAATACTGCAAGCAAATTATTAGTGATGAGTTGACTTTTGCCTGTTAGAACTGTATGTGGTATTTTCTCTTCACATACATGTTTGCATATGTTCTGAACTGTAGTGAAGGTGAAATGTACTTGAGCATCTCAGAACTCTAAGATGGTGCACCTCAAGCTACTAGACCAACATTGTGCACAAAGCTGAGGAGCTAGAAAGAAGTGGAAACATTAAGGATTGTTAAAATGCAGAACTATGACAGAGGTCCCCGCTTAGAATGACGTATTCTTTTACTTGTAGAGACAAGGACTTTGCAAAATATCTTGACTGGCTGAGCCAAAGCTGTATTACCTTCGTTTCCTTAAACTACAAAAAAAAAATGAAAACTCTATATGGACACTTAAAGGCAATTCATTAAGTAACTTGTCATCAAGATACACCATGTATGTCTTTCTCCTTCTGGAGGTACTATTGCTGTGTACCGTCGAGTCAGATCCAACCCATAGCTGACCCTCCAGAGGGTTTTCAGAGGCATTTAATCACACGGGAGGAGACTGACAATCTTTCTTCTGCAGGGCAGCTGGTGGACTCGAACCAAGTGTCTTTGAAATTGTGGCACTACGTCCTGCCACTAGGCCACCAGTGCTCCCTATTCTGGAGGTACTAGTAGTTCTACATTCTACCTTGGAGGTTCTAGTATTCTATTTAATAATTATTTATTATATTTGTTTATAATTTTCCTGAGCTTGCTGTCAGGTGCTCTTGCACTAGTTAGTCCTTGTGTTTTATGAATAAGGTCAGAGACACTGTACATTAGGCCTCATACAAATTTACTGACACAGCTAAATTTAGTAAAGAATATTCTTTCTTCTCTTTCCTTTTCCTTTAAAAGACTAATAACTATTTTTCTTAATTTGAAACAAAAGACAAATGTGCCTAACGCACACTGTCGTCAAATAGGAACTGACTCATAGCTGAACCACTGAGGCTTCTTTCCAAGGCTGCAAACTTCATGGGAAGAGATTGCCCACCTTTCTCCCACTGAGCCACCGTGGATTCACTCCACCAGAGGTTTAGCTTTTGGGTCAGCAGTGTAATTCCTTACAGATGACGTTATCCTTACTGATGGTGTTACCATGTGCCTTGGAAGTGATAAGGATTTAAAAAAAAGAAAGAAAGAAGCAAGTACATGAAAATACGACTTTTTTTAATGGGTACATTAAAAAAAATGTAAAAACTGGTTTCTAATTTTCTTATGTCCCACAGGATTGTTGTATGTGCCCAAATAGCAACACATATCACTCACAAAATCACTACTACTTCTGTTTTAGACCTTCCCTTTTACATATGTGACAGAGTGAAGAATTTTTCTACCTTCCACCAAAATACTCAAGGCAATATATTTTGAAATCTTATTTGTTTAATATGAAATTAAAGCAATATGGAAAAAAATGAAGACAAAATCCTCAGCTTACATCTCTGGAGAACTTGTTTTAAGTTGTCTTGTATTGTCTCTCTACATTTGGGAAGAGTATGTTCATTTGTTTCGTGGATCATATTCTTCAGATTTTCAAGAACTCTCATTTCCCGAAATCCACGTTTTTCCTGTTTAAAAAAAAAAAAAGCATAATTAGTACATTATGATGTTGTGATGATAGTAACTACTTTCTGAAATTTCTACCCAGGTTATGCTTATTATCTTTTTATTAATTACTGATACTTATAGTCTTTTCCAAATTATTCAGCAATTAAATAAGGAACAACATGTAGACTTTTTTTATTATTATAAAATGCTCTAAAACTTGCAGTGAGTACTATTCTCATGACAATAAAAATTGTCATGTTTAAAAATGACAAGGACATAGACATGAAAGAGGATATTAACAACTTTACAGAAAGTGAAAATCTGAATCTACAATAAATAAATTAATAATCTATAACTTTTGATAATTAGAGGTTCAAGACCTGAGGCTTCATTACTTGATGCAATAAAAAAGAAGAATTAATACCAATCCTTCTCAAACTCCTGCCACAAAAAATCACTTGATACTACATGGAAAATAATCATATATACCAATATCCTTTATGAATACTGATTCAAAAATCCTCAACAAAATTATTAGTGAATTAAATTCAGCAGTGTAGTGAGAGGATTATACAGCTAGATCCACATATTATATACAACACACTCTTGTTGTTATGTGCCATTTAGTCACCTGTTACTCATAGCAACCCTATTTACAACAGCTATGAAGTCTGCCCTATCCTGAGCCAGTCTCACTGACTCCAACACATCTACCCCCATAAGCCCAGTTACTGTATCAATCCCTATTATCCTGGGTGTTCCTGTCCTGCGCTGTCCCTACACCTGTCCAAGCATGATAGGTTTCTCCAAGAATGGGTCCCTCCTGGCCACATGCCCAAAGCATGTAAGATGGAGCTTCAAAATCCTAGCCTCCAAGGAGAAACTTGGTTTCACCCTCTCCAAGACAGACTTATTTGTTTTCTTGGAAGTCCATGGTATGTTCAAGACTCTTCTCCAGCACCACAACTCAAAAGCATCAATTCTTCTTCTCTCATCCTTAGTCATTGCCCAGCTCTTTGATGCCTAACAACTGTGAAGACCACGGCCTGGATCAGGTGCACCTTAGTCTCTAAACTGACATTGTTGCTTCTCAGCACTCTGGAGAGGTCCCTGACAGCAGATTTTCCCAGTGCAATTTATCTTTTGATTTCCTGACTGCTGGTGCCCAGAGTGTTGACGGAGCCAAGCAAGATGTAATTGTTAACCACCTCAATCTCTTCTCCATTCATCATGGTGCTGCCAGTTGACCTAGTGGTGAGAATCTTTGTTTTCTAGATGTTGAGCTTCAATCCATATTGAAGACTATAGTTCTTGACATTTTGCAGCAAATACTTGAGGTCCTCCTCAGTTTCAGGAAGCAAAGCGGTGTTATCTGCATAATGTAGGTTGTTGATGAGTCTTCCTCCAATTCTGGTATCACATTCCTCCTCAGAAAGCCCAGTCTTTCAAATGATATGTTCTGCATATAGATTCAAAAGGAATGGAGACAGGACACATTCTTGATACATTACTTTCCTGATTTTGAACCATGCTGTGTTAACTTGTTCTGTTCTGAAGACTGTTTCCTGGTCTGAGTATAGGCTTCACATGAGCACAATCTATGATCTGCAGAGTCAAATGCTTTTGCATAGTCAATAATACACAGATATTCCTCTGGTACTCTTTGCTTTCTGCTAAGATCCGTCTGACATTGGTGATAATGTCTCTAGAGCCACTTGTCTTCTATACCCAGTGTGTATTTCTGGAAGTTATCTGCTGATGTTACTGTTCCAGTCATTTTTGGATAATCTTCAGCAGTTAAAGAACACCAAAATATATGGTAAAAAATTACATGTTCGTGGATTAAAAAGATAATCGTTAAGATGATAATGCTACCTAGAGTGATACACATAGATTACCCAGTGCATCTCTATCAAAATGAGATTTTGTTGTTTTTCGGGGGAGGAGGTGTATAGATGTTAAGGGGACAAGAAATAGTAAAAAAAAAAATTCAAAAGATGAACAAAGGAGAAGACTCAGACATCCCAATATCCAAACTTACTACAGTTATAACTATCAAAGCAATGTAAGGACAGACATATAAACTAATGAGAATTGGCTCAGATTATTTCCATATATCAATCAACTGACATGTCTTAAGAGTCCCAAGCCCATTTGATAGTGTAAAAATAGTCTTTTCAACAAATGGTGCTGAGGAAAGTGGACATACAAGAGTTAAAAAAATGAAACAAAGTTCCCCTTTCAGGTGTCATGGCTTTAGTGTTCAAAATTGCTCTCCGAGCCATCAGTGTTGATTTTTCACCACATGATTAAGCGGGAACTTAAAATAGGGGGTACATAAAGTAATCATTCTGGGATCAGTCAATATGTCCCATGCTACCAAGTTTGAATTGAATAAATTTAAAAACAAGGTGGGAATCTTACTACCAACAAGGAAAAAAAAGCAGAGTGCAACACATGTCCTTTGTGCCAGAGATTCTGAGACCAATCAGACCAGGATCTACATGACAGCAGTAGCAGACTCAGAAAAGAACCAGAGACAAATATAAAAGAGTTGACTTGGGACTACTACCCTACAGAACCAGAACCAGGAACCTTATCCAAGCTTGCTGGAGGACAAAGGGAAGATTTCATAACTGGCAGGACTAAGAGAACTTTGTAACACTGACCAAAGCTGAAGCAAGATATATGGGCTGAAGAATTAGAGTCTGTTGCCAACATGAATTGCAACCTGTCAATTACCCTAATAACTTACATGTTGTTGTTGTTGTTATGTGCCATCGAGTCGTTTCCGACTCATAGCGACCCTATGCACAACAGCTCTAAACCCTACTCTATCCTGTGCCAACCGCACCGCCTCTGACACACCCATCC